CTATCATAACCTCTCTCCCCATTACTTTCTACTTCTACTACGGTGATGGGTATGCTATCTACCCCAACCCCCATCACCTCATTCCTCCCAACCTCTGCCACCTCACCCCCCCAACCTCCACCACCTCATCTCCTCTCACCCCCTCCACTGTTTCCTCCGAACTAGTTGGAGATGGACTACTCTCTGTGTCCATCCTCCCATAGTCCAGGGGCTCCACCTCACTCCCTACTATACTTTGTGTTCTTTCTAACGACATTTTCTCAAACTCTGCACGAAGTAGGGGGGAGGAATAAGTCAGGATCTTTTTTTAAAAAAAAAAACCCCCGTTGTTGCACATTCAAGATCCTTCTCGCCTCTAACCCTAACTTCCTTCAGAGGACTCTAAATCAATCACAGAAAGGGAGAAAGGAGAGAGACACTTCGATTAACTCAAAAATCAGAAGTTCGGGTACAGTACCTGATTTCGATTTCGAAAGATTTGATGTAGAGATCCCCAGTTGTTACCGTAGTTCACGAACAGAAAATGCACAATGGAGCTTCTCGCAGAAGTTTTGCAGGAAAAGAAATGCAAGTAAACTTTTTTCTGCAGAAAAAATGCCTATTTATACCCCTGGGCAAAATTAGATCTCAATGGCTGAGATTCATTTAATCTTACGGTTCCTATTCACACCGTTTAGAATTCGACGGACAACCTTAAACGGTACCGTTTTGAATTAGACGGTTCGTTTTTTAATTTTTTGCCCGTTTAACTGTTGCAGTTATCTTTTTACGGCCGCATTTATTGCGCACGTCATTCCAAGGACAACTGTCACACCTATGTCAGTATTACACGGGCCCACCTATGCCCATTTCAACACCTCTGTTCACTTTTGCATATTCTCAATTGTGCAAAGTGTTTTACCTCGGCTTCAACCACAATAATGCTGCATTACATTTCACATCGACTTCGGCCACAGTAATTCAATATCACACATTTTATTTCGGCTACGGCCATTATGACCTCAGTCATTATATTTTATTATGGCCCTGGCCATTTTGACTTCTGTCTTTATACTTGAGCCTAGCTCAGCACTTCTGTTTACTCTTACAATTATAATTGTTAGCTGCTTTACTTTGGCTCCGGCCACAGAGAGCACATGTTTTACTTCGGTCTTGGTTACTGTGACCACATGCCACATACTCCACCTCAGCTTCGGCCCTTATGACTCCGGTCATCATATTTTATTACGGCTCCGGCCCTTATGACTCCGGTCATCATATTTTATTACGGCTCCGGCCCTTATGACTCCGGTCATCATATTTTATTACAGCTCCGGCCCTTATGACTCCGGTCATCATATTTTATTACGGCCCCGCCATTATGACTCCGGTCATCATTTTCCATCACGGCCTTGGCCTTTATAACTCTAGTCATCATTTTTTATTATTATGACCTTGATTACATTATGACTCCGGTCATCATCTTTTACGTTATGACTTCGGTCATTATTTTTACCCCGACCACGGCTACGATCACTCCGATTATATTTTTTAAGGCACCCTAGCATGGCCAACTGTCACATTATTAGCTACGGCTATGTCTAAATTTAAGTTACAGCTTTATTCCTTATACTTCCATAACTTATCTGTATTCTCTTTGTTCATACACTCCCCTCATTATCCCCAGCAACATCATTCACAAGTG